GAGTAGCTTTGAGCAAGTCAGATATTTACTCACTATTTTGGTATTATTTTCCCTCCTGGAAGAATAGATATTAGTAATGCATTTTTAAATACAGTCATCTGAGAAGGAAAAGTGGAAAGCCATATCTTCTTTGGAGGTCCCATGATATCCTGTGACCTGAAGGGGATACAGGCGTGGTGACCACAGGGGGAAGGGCTGAAAGGGAAGAGATAGGGATTCCCGTGGCAGTGATTTATCTGTGTAGCACATTTAGTTCTCATGACTCAGGAGATGTCAGTATTATCGCTATATCATAAAATACAAAAAATATATATGCCATGAAAACTATGAAAAATGACCATGAGAAAAAAATCCCTAGAACTAATAGTTTAAATTTTTGATGCTTGGCAATAGAATGTACATTTTACACATGAGATGAGAGAATATTTGAATTCATGTTTAGAGAAATAAAAATAAATAAATAGTAGGAAACCTGGGGGAAAAACAGTACTCCCGAGTGTTTCCAAACATTTTTTTAATCCTCACCTGAGAATATGTTTCTTGATTTAGAGAGAGAGGGAGTGAGGGGAGGAGGAGAGGGAGAAACATCAATGTGAGAAACATCGATTAGTTGCCTCCCATATGTGCCCTGACTGGGGATAGAACCCGCAACCTTTTTTGGTGTACAGGATCATGTTTCAACCAGCTGAGCCACCTGGCCAGGGCCCAAACATTTTTCTAGGAACTCTAGTCTATAACAGATAAATCTGATACAACATCACTTGGATGCAACTTTTATCTCCAGAAGACAGGAGCCAAAAATAGATTGAAGATTGGTTCTCTATTAAGTGAAGTTCCTTTTTTTCTGAACAAAGATGAAGAAAATTCTGTTAGATTTATTGTATGAGTTGATAACCAGAAGGATTCATTAAAACTGTTGATTCTATGACAATGTATAAAAGGGGATGAAATAGAACATGCTATAAGCTACATGCCAGGCTTTGAAGAAAGTATCACTTTTTACCTTCACAATAACCCTTAACCCTTCATGACAGGAAGTACAGATCCAGAAATTGAGGACCGGTGAGGTTATAAAACTTGCCTAAAGTCACATGTTGGTGGCAGAGCTGGGATTCAAATAGCAGTCATTTTGAAATGTCATGGTTTTTCCTACTTCACTATGCTGCCCCTCAGTGGAACTTTATAATAATGGTAGCAATAATAATTTACAATAATACTGCTTATTGACTATTTATTTATTTTGAGCCAAGAATTGTGCAACGACCTTTAAGTGCATTATTTTATTCAATTAACAAACCCATGAAGAAGAGATTATTTGCACTTTGTAAATAAAAAACACAAAGACTCAGAGAACTTAAGTGACTTCACTTAAAGTCACCAGGCTAGTAAGTGGGAGCCAGTGTTTACTTTTGAGCCCAGAGCCCATTCATGATGCTGTTTCTAGGGCAGACTGGAGAACCGACATCTGAACTGTCCTTTAATGGACCTGCTCCTTTTTTGGAGATGGGTCAACACAACAGGAGGATGGAGGCCCACACTGATTTTGCCTGTGTTCGGCGGCAAATACAGCCATTTGGGGCAGTTTATCCTTGCTTACCAAGTTCTTTAGATCAGAAGCCAGTAAAATTCTCTTCCTGCTTTTCTTTTGCAGATACTTGCCACTTGCACTGAATCATCGACTAAAGCTGATAATGCCCAAGTGACTAATACCTACTCTGAGCTGTTGAAGTTGAGTAAGAACATTACCAAAAGAGAGTCCGGGTGCCCGGAAGGCCAACAGCGTGAGGGCAGTTTCTGCTGTCGGCCATGTCTTCCTGGTATGTCACACACACATGCAGCAATTAGAGTGAGAATCAAGGTGATGAATAGCATATCGCAATGATGAAGAAAATGTTTTTACAGCACTTGGTTCTCCTGTATAATTGCATTACCAAGAGCAAAAACCAACTGGGAAATTATTTTACCAAGACATGTTTAGCCCTGGCTGGTTTGGCTCAGTGGATAGAGCGTCGGCCTACGAACCAAAGGGTCCTGGGTTCGATTCTGGTCAAGGGCATGTACCTTGGTTTCAGGCTCCTCCCTGGCCCAGATCTGGGCTCTCATGCAGGAGGCAACCAATCAATTGTTTCTCTCACATCGATATTTCTCTCTGTCTTTCCTTCTCTCTTCCACCCTCTCTAAAAATCAATGGAAAAATATCCTCGGGTGAGGATTAAAAGGAAAAAAAAGAGACACGTTTAATTCATCTTTATCACACTTGTTGGATGTGGGTATAAATAAGTATAATTTATAAATGCTATGTACCTCTGAAATGAGAGGATTTATCTACTTAGCTGCATTTTTCACTAGCAAAAGAAGACTCATTTGTGGGTATTAAAGCTCATCATTTCAGAACGGATTAGGATATTTCATAATAATTGTGGCAATCTGAGAGCAAGTATTTCAGTCCTTCTGCACAACTAGAGACACTGAAGCCTGCAAACTGCATTTGCATTTTGCAGCCTAATAACTAGCCAAGCTAGAAAAGCAGCAGGCAAAAACCAACGGTTTTTAAACATCAGTATTTTGAAATACAAACTAGTTTCAGATCGGAAATCCTTCAAACACCAGCAAATTGGAAGCTAAGCAGAATGCAATTGTGCAAGCCGTTTTTCAACATGGAGTAAACTGACAACTATTTCATACAGATATGAATCTCTTCTTGCTGCTTTGGGAAGTAAGACAGGAAGATAAAGGAAAACAACACATGGATTTATGTGACAGATTAGCAGAATCAAAGGATTGTGTAGGGTTTCATGGTTGGCCTCCCAGAATCCCAGCACTCAAGCTGTTTATAAGAAGACTACAGGCCCGGTGCACAAAATTCGTGAACTGGGAAAGGGTGTCCCTCAGCCCAGCCTGCACCCTCTCCAATCTGATTGCCCTCCCCTGCCAGCCCAGTCCCCCCAGCTTCCCTCCCCTGCCAGCCTGGTCACACCTAACTGCCCTCCCCTGCTGACCTGGTCTCCCCTAACTGCCCTCCCCAGCAGGCCTGGTCCCCCACAACTGCCCTCCCCACTGGCCTGATTGCCACAACTGCCCTCCCTTGCCAGCCATCGTATGGCTGTGGGCACCGCCATCTTTGAGGGCATGGCAGTCAATTAGCATATTCCCCCCTTATTGGCTGTGGGTGCCGCCATCTTTGTGATGGCATGAGGGTCAATTAGCATATTCTCTCTTTATTATATAGGATTCTATAAGTCTTCCCTGGCCTTCTCTCTAGGCATTAATAACGCTATAGAAGATCTCCCTTATAACCCAACCCTCTACACTTAAGGCCTTTTACTCTTCTCCAAATGGGAAAAAAAGAATGCGTCTTGATCTTTGATAATTTGCTAAACACATCAACTTGTCCTGTGGATTTAAATCTTATGTTTCTTTTTCTTTTTTATTTTATTTTATTATTGATTAAGGTATTACATATGTGTCCTTATCCCCTCATTGCCCTCCCAATCCCCCGATCATGTCCTCATCCTCACCCTTTGTTGTCTGCGTCCATTGGTTAGGCTTATATGCATGCATACAAGTCCTTTGGTTGATCTCTTACCCTAACCCCCACCCTCCCCTACCTTCCCCCTGAGGTTTGAGCACCTAATTGATGCTTCTCTATCTCTGAATCTGTTTTTGTTCATCAGTTTATGTTGTTCATTATAATCCACAAATGAGTGAGATCATGTGATATTTATCTTTCTCTGACTGACTTATTTCACTTAGCATAATGCTCTCCAGCTCCATCCATGTTGTTGCAAATGGTAGGAGTTCCTTCCTTTTTATAGTAGCATAGTATTCCATTGTGTAGATGTACCACAGTTTTTTAATCCACTCATCTGCTGATGGGCACTTAGGCTGTTTCCAAATCTTAGTTAGCTATTGTAAATTGTGCTGCTATGAACATAGGGGTGCATATATAAATATTTCATATTTTTAAAATGCAAATAAAAACAAAGGTAATTTGCTTTGAATGTCAAATTGTCAAGGATTTTGGCCTTCTTGCTTTTGTTTGGTCTTGCTTTGTTTCACTTCATTTAAGGAGTGATTTCAGCCCTGGTGAGTTTGCTTATGAGCTAAGAATGCTTATATACCATTATTTCTTTTTAATTGGAGTATGTAGGTCAAGAACTTAAAGACCTTTTTACCTACTGATACAGAAATCAATTTATAGGAAAATGTTTTAAGAAAATGGTCAAAATAAAGGGAAATTCCGTATGTGTGACATTTCATTATGATAATCAGTGATGTGGAATTAAGTAAATTTTGGAGTAGTCAAAAGCTAGAATGTTATGGTCAATCAAAGTCTTGGTTTCTGATATATTTCTAATATATTCCTCAATGTACACAAATTCCCTTAAGGGATTTCTTTTTTCTTCTTTTTAAATTTTTTATTGTTGAAAGTGTTTCCTTCAGGGATTTCTAACTAATCTGCTGGCTGAATTAACTGGTTCTCTCTGCTCCATCTCTAAAATGTCCTAGATGGCATCCAACACACGCTGAACACTCCACCCATGTCTAGTCCCTCCTGTTGAATTTTAGGCTTTATTAGTATTCAAATTGCTCCCAAATCTGTGATATAAATATGATTTTATTAAATATTATATAATCAATGGTATATGAATACAAAGAGAAGACAGATTTTATTTCTGTGAAAACTACTTTGAATGCTTTGGAGAACTTCAGTAAAGGTGAGCTGCTAAACTGAGTTGATGACTTAGGTGAGGGCAAAATCAATGGAAAAATTATAAAGTTATAAAAATCTTGAAAGCTTCTCATACAGATTATTGGTGTCTTTAAATTTTCTCAGGTTTGATGCTGGTCAAGGGCCTTCTGGTTGCAGGTTTGATCCCTGGCCCTGGTTGGGGCACATGCAGGAGGCAACCAATCAGTGTGTCTCTCTCACATCACTGTTTCTCGCTCTGTCTCTCCCTCTCCCTTCCATGCTCTAAAAACAAAATGTCAATGGCAAAAAGGATTTGGGAGGATTCAGGTGAAGATTAACAAAAAAAACCATTATTTTTTCTAGTGATTTTCTATCATAAAAGTCCTTGCCACATACCATATCCAATAAGAATTTTACAGTGTACTATATCATATACAGATATGCACATACATGTTACATATACATATACACACATGTATATATGTATACATTGGTATTATAAGAGTGCACCAAAATGATAAAAATGGTTATCTCAGGCTAATTAATATATTGGTGCTATTTGTACTTTCCTGCCATTTCCAAACTTTCTACAATGAGCATATGTACAATTATACTCAGAAGAAAAAATGTATTATTTTCAAGAAAACAGCTACTCATTTTTATATTTTGATAAATTTAGGTTGTGTACAGTGGAGGAAAGAAAGAAACCTGTGATTCTTTCTCTCCCTGACATGTCGTAGGCATTGTGCTAGGCACATTCTGCAGCATTGTTCATCAAAGAGGACAGTTCATTTAGAAACTAGGATAATGCCCCTGGCAAGCAAATGACATGTACTTTGGCTTGGTTTTCTTTCAAGTATTGCCACAGCATTATAGAGCCCCAGTGCACCGTATTTGGATTCAATTCCGGGTTTCTTTCTATTGACGGAATAGTGTCCTTGTTTACACAAATGTCATATGTTTACATTAATTTGTTTATGTATTTTCTCTCCCTGACATGTTGTAGGCATTGTGCTAGGCACATTCTGCAGCGTTGTTCATCAAAGAGGACAATTCATTTAGAAACTAGGATAATGCCACTGGCAAGCAAATAACATGTACTTTGGCTTGGTTTTCTTTCAAATATTGCCACAGCATTATAGAGCCCCAGTGCACCATATTTGGATTCAATTCCAGGTTTCCAGGTTTTTTTCTATTGACAGAATAGTGTCCTTTTTTACAAAAATGTCATATGTTTACATTAATTTGTTTATGTAGTAAGCATTTTGCTTTTTCAAAAGAATGCTACGAGGTTGTTGAGAAAGTCATATGTCTGGGAAAGACACCATCAATTATGTTTGCTGTACATGTGCGTAGGGCAGATTAGACTTTTTTTGTTCTTCTTAATTATTTATACCATCAGTAATTGGAGTCACTAGTCATGCTTCCTCGTACATTCCCCTTTATATTTTCTGAC